ACGGGTCCTGCTGCTTTCCCGCTCTTGATTTGTCTGATGGCCATTCTGATTTATTCGGTCGTTGGTGGATTGACATCTATAGGAAGATCTGTGTGTGCTGCTTCGATGTCCGGTGGATTTATTGGAGCCGGCCTATTCAGGAGTTCCTCGAAGTACTCTGCCCATCTGTTCCGCTGTTGTTGAATCTCAGTGATTGGCCTGCCTTCTTTGTCTTTGAACGGTCTCTCTGATTTACTATATTTCCCTGCTAGTTTCTACGTTGTATCATAAAGCTGTTTCATATTTCCTTCTCTTACAGCTTTTTCCACCGTCATTGCTAGTTCTTCCACGTATTTCTGCTTATCGGCTCTAATGCTCTTCTTCACTTGCTTGTTTGCTTCTATGTATTCAGCTTGTGCTTGGACTTTCTCTGCTCGTGTTCGACTGTTGTTAATTTCTGTCTTCTTGTTCTTCCTTTCTTTGATCCTGTCCAGTGTTTCTATAGAGATCCACTCCTTGTGATGATGCTTCATAGTAGTTTCTTCTTCCTTCAGTAGATCCTGTAGGGCTTGAAACCTGTTGTTGAGAGCTACCTTGAATTCATTGAGTTTGTCAGTATCTCGAAGGAAGGCTGTATTGAACCTTTGCAGAGCTGTTTGTCCAGTTGTCCAGTTCTTCTTTAGCTTCAGTTTTAAATTGGCCACAACCAGGTGGTGATCTGAAGCTATGTCCGCTCCTCTCCTGGTTCTCACATCTTCCATTGTCCTACGGAACTTTTTATTTATGCAAATATGATCTATCTGGTTCCTTGTGGTGTGGCCCGGTGAGATCCATGTAGCTTTGTGTATACGTTTATGTGAAAATATTGTGCCGCTTATGACCAATTTGTTGAATGCACACAGATTTACAAATCTTTCCCCGTTTTCGTTTCTCTCTCCCAGTCCATGCAGTCCCATGATGTCTTCATATCCGGTGTTGTCTATTCCGACTTTGGCGTTTAGATCTCCCATCAGAATGGTGAGGTCCTTTCTTAGGCACTTCTCTATGATTGATTGCAGCCTCTCATAGAATTGATCTTTAACGTCGTCGTTGCTATCATTGGCGGGTGCATGACATTGGATAATGTTCATTGTGATCTCCTCCTTCTTTGTTTTGAATGGTGCTTTGATGATTCTGGATCCGTGAGATTTCCATCCTATAAGTGCGTTTCATGCTACTTTGGACAGCATTAGAGCAACTCTCTGAGTGTGTGGGGCATTTTCCTCTTCGTGACCGGAGTATAGCAGCATCTCTCCCGTATTTAGCCTTTGTTGTCCAGCTTGGGTCCAATGGGTTTCGTTGATTCCGAGTACTGCCAAGTTGTATCTCCTCATTTCCGTTGCTATTTGACTGGTCTTCTGGGTCTCCCACATTGTCCGGATGTTCCATGTACCTATAAAAATTGTTGCTGTGGTTGTTAGAAGGCGCATCGGCCTCATGGCTTCCGAAGGAACTCGGCTTTCACCATGAGGCGTCATATTTCTTCTAAATGAAGACCTTCTAACTCTCAGGGCAGAGTTTATATGTTTTGAGTTATTTTTTCTGATTAGCGTTTTTTAGCGAGTTAGTTTTCTACGGGATGGGGACGCTAACCCTATGCCTAACCCTCCTCCTTAGTCCGGGCTTGGGACCTGCAGTAACTCTAGGAGAGCTACAGGCGGAGTTGAAAATCCGTAAGCTCCGCATATATTTCACAAAAAAATCTAATAAAGAGTACATGTCTCAGGAGCCACCGAATTAAATTTCTTTTTTACTGGATTCAGTGAATTCTAGAAACTTGACCTACTTTCAGGTTAATTTGAATATTGTTTCATTTTTTATTAGAAAATCTTTCTTATTACGTAAAAAATACTTAAATTTCGATTACTTTTTTTTCTTCCTAATTTCTCTATTTTTTTCCTTATGAATAATTTAATATAATTATTTCCTCTTTTTTCCCTTTCTTTCTTCTTCTTCGTACTCTTTATATAAGTAGCTATAAACCCATTATCGGTCGTTTTTATTATGCACCATTTCAATGAAATATCTCTTTTTCTTTTAAATTTAATTAATAAAAGTGAAAGAAATCTGTTTCTTTGTTTGTCTATAACGATTTGTTGTGTTTGTTGTGATTTGATTAGGGTAATAATTTCAATCAATTAAATATTGTAAAGGGTTTTGTGGAAATTTTAGTAATTTTAATAGTTGAGATCATGAGTCAAATAAAGCTAGACCACCATAGAAAACCTAGAAGCACTGGATGGCCATTTCGTCTTATTGTGGGACTGGCTTCTAGAGGTATTTCCTTGAGTTCTAGTGAGAAGCAGTAACTAGTGGAGTTCAACCGGGGCTATTGTGAGATAGTAACTCACTGAAGACAATGGTGGATGTGTCGCTCAATTTCGTGGATTAGTTGAAGTTAGACATTAACTCCACTAGGAGCCGGCCATCTCAGTGGTCTAGATCTTAAGTGTTCGCCTGCGAAACTGATAAGTGCTGGGTTCGAATCTAACGGTGCAGTGTCGTGGATGCGCACTACTGAAGAGTCCCGCAATAGGAAGAAACAGCCGTCCACTGCTTCCTGGTCTTCCATGCTGGTCTAGCTTCAATTGACTCATGATCACAACTATTGAAATTAAATATTGTGTATCCTACATTTGACATTGTTTATTAAATTATTCTAAATTCTATGGTAGTAATAACAACAAATCTTCTGGATTTCATCGGAAGGAAAAGTTTCTTCGCTGAATTCTCTTCCTCTTCCGTAATTGTACATGACTATTTACGGAAATAGAAAACAAAAAACTGTTTATCTATTTTTCAATAGTCGTAATGAGAAGAAAATTATATTCTGTTAATTTCACCGCTTTGTATAAGTCACATCTTTACAGAATAAGTAAATAATTCAGTTGTCCTAACATTCGTTTAAATAGTAAAGGTACAAGGCTGGATATTTAGTATGGTCAATATTTTGATTGAGTTTATTTTAGTATCTATGTGTCATAATCATAATATCATAATTCCTAATTAATTATTTGAAAATAGTTTAAGATGCCAGATAGTTTGCTTTGTCAATTCAGTAGTGTGTGAAGAGATTTTTATGTCTAATAAAAAGCAATTAAATTCATAATGAGGTTTTAGTAACACTTTATTCATAACAGATTATTCATGTCAGTTAAGTTAATAAATAAATGATATGCAAACGTTATTAATCTATTATCTACCAGTGATTATCATACCGTAAACCTAAATAGGCTGTATGAAGTTAGATGATGGAGTGATTTATAATCAAATAAAATAACTAGTATAAACTTGAATAATAAATTTAATGTTACGTGGTTCGACGTAGTCAGCAGGAAAGAACGGTATACATCAGTATGGGATAATTGATATCTTCAAAGAACAGAAGCTCATTATAGGATTCGAATCAGGATAACCTAGTTTTACATCCTAATAGATTAATATTGAAATAACTGGGCCTCAGCTGAATTCTTTTAGGTTTAATTTATTAACATTTATTAATCTCTAAGTAATGATGTATTCTTCCTTAAAGCATAATTCTTTGGATTTCGTAAGACGTTTTCGAAGAAACGTGTGTTAAAGTTGTCATCTAAAAATGAAGCGGTGATATAATTAGTTGCATTATAGATGAATACTTACTAAAATCACTAACTGAGCTGTAATTTGAAAATAAATTAAGATATCAAACCACATAAAGTAATTATATAATTGTTTTCTTAGTTGTCAGATGTTATTCAGAACTAAGTTTTTTATGTACCGTTTATCTAGGTTGAAAACGAAAAGACTTTTTCAAAGAATCAACATACGACAACTATTAGTAGGCTCGTTTATTTTAAAGTATAAATGGATGTATAAACTGTCCGTTTGTTAACTAACATCAGTTTTCAAAATGCCAACCCTTTTAGAAACGTTACCTTTGTCTCACAAACGAGGGCAGTATTCAATTAAGAGTTCAGAAATGAAATATGAGATAAAAAAGTTAGTCTGTATTACTTAAACAGACTGAAATATGTTAATGGTGTTGGGTTGACACTTAATTTTGCCTGTAATACTAGGGTGGGTTAAATTAGGTTAAATAAAACATTGAGAGGAAAAACGAAACATGAATTTTATTTTAATACCTACAAATTTTATTTCCCTACCGAATCCTATTTTGTAACAGAAGGTTAGTTACGTAAAGTTGAATTGATCTGTTCCTGTTTTGTACTATAGACGGGACCAATACTGAAGAAATTTATATAGATTTAACATTCTCACATTAACGACATATTCCATGTTCTCGTAAACACATTTTTTTTAGTCAGTTACACAAATAACTTAGATCAAAACTGTAAGACAGTATACAATAAAAGTAAATGGAATATTCCAGTGATGATTTTTATTGTTTGTTACGTAATCAACCACCCTATCAACACTATAGCTGTTTTCACTAAATGATTACTTTTTATTCATTCAATATAGACCATGAATATTTTATGGAGTTTTGAGATTTCTAAAATCTAAAAGCAGTATTGATTACAGATTGATTTCCGTCGGTATACCATTGAAAACCAAAGGTCACTTGATAAGTGCCTTTTTTGGCATGAAACTCACCAGTAGTGCATACCCAAGAACTCACCAGGGATCGAACGCAAATCCTTGAAGCCTAGTACAAGGCGCTCAATAGAAAAGTTCCAATTTAAATCGGTTCGTAATATAGTGAGGCGATCATTCGATATTAATAATGACTTTAGTTTAAATCCCGACGTATGTGAACATAACCTGTTACGTATTCTTGCTACAACTTCTTAAATATTTTAACATAAACCATTAGTGAGTGGATTATTGTTGTTTACTTCAAGGGGTTTGTAGGGATAATGTCAGTTTGCAGGTAACATTTGTAGAGTGAATTCACTGGATAAGCTCCAAAATTATATTAACAATATTACTACTACCAATATTGATAACATCATTAACAGACCCTATTAATGTTTATTTTATAGTTGGGCAAATCATCGAATAATAATAACGCCTTAAAACGTTTATGCTCATTGTTGAAATCAACAAAGAAAGGCGAAAGCAAAGATATTCAACCTATGCTTGATTTGAACACACTTTTGCCAAGTAAGTAAATAATTATAGTGATATATATATATATATATATATATATATATATATATATATATATATATAGTATTTAGTAAGGGCTTGAATTCTCCCATTATGAATATATATTTATGGTTGTTAAGTCAAGAAGTACATCTATTGCATAAGGTGGAATTATGAAAAAAGTCTAATGTAACGAAATTTTTATTTTTCTTCAACTCAAGTCATCGATAATTTTTCTAAGTGCTTAACATTTACATGTTTAGTTTGTATTGTTTAATGCCATGTCATAAATGTTGACAATATTCTTTAATAAGATCTAGTCTTCCACTAGCCTCTTTCGAAATTGACACTACCTTTTCATTTATAGTTATTCAAAATAAGTTTGTAAAAATAGTGAATTTATATTTTCGTCTGCATCAATCTATGATCCTTTTAACTAGATATATAGAAAAAATCAGAGAGGAATTTTGTGAATATAATAATAATTTAATAGTTGAATTCATAAGTCGATTGAAGCTAGACCACCATGGAAAACCTGGAAGCATTGGACGGCTGGTGGTGCAACTTTGTGGATTGGTTGAAGCTAAACAATAACACAGCTGGATGCCGGCCGGCTCTGTAGTCTAATGGTTAAGCGCTCGCACGCGAGACAGATAGGTCTTTGGTTCGAATTTTGCGAGGCAGGATCGTAGATTTGCACTGCTGAGCAGTCCTATACTAGGATGAAACGGCCGTCCAGTGCCTCCAGGTTTTCCATGGTGGTCGATGATAAAACACAACCACTTATAACAAACGATAAGTGAATTGATCCACTCTCTAAAATTAGTATGTATTTATACATGAATCATTTGAAATTAATAATTAACTTATTTACAAAAACATAAAATCATATCATGGTTACACATTTTATTATTTACATTATTATAAGCGAACACTGACGATAATTGACTGATCTACATTTCACTATGTTAATGTTGTTAGCAATTTACGTAAACAAGAGTATTCACGTAAGCCGATTATAATGATTGAATACTAAATTTCAAAAAAAAGGTTAGATTCAATTTTTTAAACATCACTCTGTTTATTTAATACGAAAAATATAAAAACCTCAAAATGTATAGTACTACTATTACCACGATACTTATTATTATTATGATGATGATTTTTATCTAAGACTGTACGATAGAAACAGAAATGTATGTTCATTCGTTTAAACACGGTCTGATTAAATAAGATTGACAAATGTCAAACATGATAAACATAGTTTTTAATTTCTAATTCATAATATGCCCAGTAATTTTACTTGAATACATCAGCTTCATTTAACTACGAATAAAATTATTGAATATACTTTTTTTTTAAAAAACATATCGGATTATTAAACTATTAAGATCATGATGTTTCTTGGGGGTATTTAGACTGTTACCATGCTGTACAGTCCGATTACTCCAATGATTAAAAAGTCAATATTATCGATGAGATTTCCGTTTTCATACCGAAATTAAAATTTTTTTCATATTGTAATAAGTTATCATTTGCTTTTTAAAAAATAGTACGAAAATATCAGTGGTTTATAATCAGATTGGTGTATAACATCATTTCATCAATTTTACAATTTATGAAAATCATGCAAATAGTTGCCATATATACTCTCTCTATATTTTAAACTACCTTGTATGTTCCTTATCAGTCAATGGCACTTCCTAGTAAGGTAACTGAGTTTCTCTAGTATATTACGGTTTGTTCAAGAAAAAAATCCAAATAACTTATTTATGTAATTATTTTATCCACTTAATTATTATTGGCTTTATTCAGTATCATATTTCTGGTACAATATAGAATTCTCAGCGCAAAGTATTTCAGAAAGTTTCCTTTTCTTATTTCTTGATCGATCCTGGCAATAAATATTGAGTAATCACCAATTAGATGTTAGCAGTTCGGGAATCGAATAATTGAATAAAATACACTCATTTCGATGCAAATTGCCAGCAACCACGATGTCTCTGGTTGGGCTGTCTTGTAACTTGTACAGCGAAATGTTGTAAATTTGTTATAAACGCTCCTGAATAGGTGGGCATAATGATGTGTTAAAACAAATAAGAAAACAGATAACTTGTTGAATTATCCAGATAGCAGAAACAGGTAGCTTAGATATTCAAACAGGCCGCCTAGAATTAAATAATATCACGGAGTTCCTTTGAACACTAGAGAAAATTTACAAAATTGTCTAAATAATGAGTTTTTTTCTTAACCAAGCCATATACAATCATTTTACCTAAATGAAATTTAGACAATAATGTTATTTTATTAGTTTGTTAAAATTTTGTACTTTTCTGTGTTTGTTTTTATTATTGATTATTAACTATTTAGTAATCGGTTTTTACCATTTACTTACTGTAAATGGTCACTAATGCTTTAACTAATTTTATACATTTTTTTGATGACTGTTAAACAAAATTACTTGTTCACATTTTTTTATGTTCTGCTTTCAATTATACATACCAAAGGTGAAAATCAATCAACCAATGGGTTGTAAAAGGGGATAAATTTCGTAGCCTATAAATTTGATGTATTTTATTTTATTGAATGACATAGTAACCAATAATCTTATTGTTGAGATAATTTGTGTAAATTATACACGTATTTTGGTATTTTGTATTTACTTTTAGTTAATTGTAATCATTTTACATCGTTATCATTCATTATGTGTGCATTTCTGTTGGTATGTTTAAACAAAGAAATACATGTTGATAGATCCTTCCTTAATGCTTCATATTAGGTACAGTATTTAATAAATTATGTGAACGATCTCCTTTTGATAAATCGAATTGGTAACTCCCACATAAAGATCATCTTTATATAATATTCTTGTTGATGAATAACGATCGATGCTAGATTTAGAAAAATGAACTTAAGGTATTAGGTTGAGTTCTACAAAGGTTTCCAACAAATGGTGGTTCGAGAGAATTTGATATATATATATATATATATATATATATATATATATATATATATATATATATATAGTACGTTGGTCGTTTTTCCTTACACTTCAAGTAATTGATTAGTTGCTTTATATAACGAGTTGATATTGCTGAAAATTGAAGTTCTGGATAGTTTTTCACTCATTGTTTGAAACTTTTCAATCACACACATTTATCTAATACTTTATATGAAGTATAATCAAGGTCGTTCAACTTCTACCATACGGACTGCATGACTAGATTATTAAGCTGTATACCAAAGGTCAGCACTTTCAATTTCAGCAAAATTGTGTTTTGGTACGGTCCTCAATGATAACCGTAACTTCATCTTAGAATTACTGTTTACCTTGTAACTCGATGTGAATACCGTTCGCTTTAGATTTCAGCTAGCCATTAGCTTGTATAATGGAGTGAAATTTAATTCATTTGTTTTGGTTGTTCGAATCTTTCCATTAGCGTTTTGAGGCTGCGATTGATCACTGTAGTTTGATATATATATATACTGGGCAAATTGTCTCGATACTGCGATATTATGGTTTAATTTTAAAATCTAGGCAAACTGCACAGGCTTCAATAACAGCCGTAATAATCAGTGGGAGTATTCAACAATCCATACAAATGAAATTGACTATCATTTCATTTTTGTACATTATAATTGTTCCAAAAATCACCTGAAAAATCAGCACGTGCGTAAGTGCCGATTATCTACTTCGTCGTTCATGAGTACAATTTACCCGGATTGAAATCAGAGTGAAGATTTTACCAATTTGTTTTTAGAATGGATATTTTATCTTCGACATTCCTGATTAAAGTCAGGTTACTACTACTTGTAAACACGAAATAATACTCAATATGACGTGGACGTTTCATGGTTTAAACCCGAAAGTGATCTTAGCTAGACTGTTACTGAATATACGGAAGCACTAGGCATCTGTTTTTTTTCCTAGTATGGAACTCCACCATTAAGACCAAACTCAGAACCTTCTATTTCGTGCGCAAATATTTAACCTCTAGGTTATTGCGCCGAAATCCAATGAACAACAGATCTAACTTTAACAGATTGTCGATGTAATTATTACTGATAATTGATTCGCTAATCCTTTCCAAACTTCCAATTTTAAACTGAAATCCTCCTTGACAAAAAGCAGTTGCAAATACGATAAAAATACAAACTTTGTTTAATTCGTGTGCATTTTATCTATCTTTATCAATTTTTTTATACAACAAATGTTAATATATTTACCAACGTTAGAACTAAACATCTCACCTACCTTGGAAACAATGGTGAATTAAAAGTTCCAGTTACTTACATTACTAATATTCATTGCTTTTTTTCAAAGCTCTACTTGTACTACAAACGATATTGTCCCGTAGCCTCAAACGACACCTGTGCCATCCCTGTCATTGAAAATAATTACTTTTAAAGTTCATCTCCTCGATTTTAAGCTATCAGTTTGTTCTAAGTCGATAAAATCTTAATTTACAACAATAAAAAATTTATAGGCTGGGGATAAACTCCACATTGTCAAGTTATCTAAGTTTATCGTAGTCAGTAATAATGAGTATGTTTTCGTTTATTTCGTCACTAAATTGTAGATATTTTGAGGTAATTTTCATTATAGAATTAATTGGAGGTATGATTTTTGCTATGTTGTAATTTTTCTTCTATCATGGCTGACTCTCCTACACTTAGTGCGTCCATAGCATGATAGAGTTGTATTTTAGTAGAAGAAAATTCCACATTTTTCATGTAGGCCAGTAAAAACGACAGAGAACGGAATACGCCCTCTATCATGGATTACGATAGTGCAAACAATATTTCCCGTTTTATTTTGGGTGATTGCCAAGTGCAGGGCCAAAATTGCGAATGACAGTGGAGGTTATCCTGACCTAATTTATATGATCGCTTAATTACAAAGACAATTCACTCGAAAACCTCTTCTACAAAATCATTTACCAAAGGAGTACATAATTTATGTACATTATGTTAGTAGTTATTCGTTATTTTTCTTAAAAACACATATGAGTTTA